GGGCTGGTGCGGGATCGGGCAGTGTTTCGTTCTGCTGTGCATGGGGTCGCTATGAGTCGGAAACGACTCGACGGCACTTAACAACAACAATAACCAATATCAATTAGATAGAATGAAATTGGAAAAATATGATGAGAAACATACTTAGGCTAATTTTTCCACATATTGATTCTTCATATTTTTAGGTATTATTTGTCTTTGCCTCTCCCTTTCAAAGCAAAGGACCTAAAGATGCCTAACTCTACCACAGTGACTGAATATATGCTTACAAGATTTTCTGATGTGTGGGAGCTCAGAATCTTACACGCCATGCTATTTCTACTGACATACTTGGCGACTCTGCTGGGGAATCTTCTCATTGTCATAGTAACCACCCTTGACCAGAGTCTTCACACCCCCATGTATTTCTTCCTTAGGAATCTGTCTGTCCTGGACATCTGCTACATTTCTGTCATTGTACCTAAGGCATGTGCCATCTTCCTGCTTGACAACAGGGTAATCTCCATGGTTGGATGTACTGCTCAGATTTTCCTTGTATTATTGTTTTCTTTTGTAGAACTGCTGTTCCTCACTATTATGGCTCGTGACCGTTACGTGGCTATTTGCCAACCCCTCCACTATCCTGTGATCATGAACCCTCAGGTCTGTGTCCAGATGTCTCTGGCCTCTGTATTCAGTGGTCTTGTCTACTCAGGATTCCACACAAGCATCACTTTCCAGCTGTCCTTCTGTCAGTCCAACATTGTCCATCAGTTCTTCTGTGACATACCCTCTCTGCTGAAGCTCTCCTGCTCTGACACCTTCATCAACAAAATTGTACTTTTTGTCTCTACTGTTGTGTTTGCAGGTGGCTGTTTTTCCTTCATCATCCTTTCTTATATACACATATTTTCTGCTGTGCTCAGGTTTCCAATCAGAAGAGAGAGAAGAAAAACCTTTTCCACCTGTGTTCCACATATTCTTGTGGTGACAGTCTTTGTCAGCTCAGCTTCTGCTGTGTATATGAAGCCAAACTCCAACTCACCCACAATTCAGGGCATGATATTTTCCGTATTCTACTCTGTAGTCCCGCCCTTCTTAAATCCTATTATTTATAGTCTTCGGAACAAGAAGATAAAGGAAGCTGTAAGGAAAATTATGAATAGAATGCTCTATTCAGGAAAATGATAGGACCATTATTTCAAAACACTGCTATTTCTGTTGAGACAAGTTAAAAAAACTTAAAATTGGCTTTCTTTCCTATTTAAAATTTGGGGAACTGTCTTAATTTCTAATTGACAGTAACTATTTATCAGATAAATCAGTAACTACATCCATATGCTGATTACAAAGATGCACCTACTGTGACATCTGAAACAAGTACTAAGGATTAGAATTTTGGCAAATATTTACATTTAGAATTATCTAGAGAGTTCTAGAATAGACAAACTATGAATTAATTTTGAAATTATTTGCAATTTTAAGACAGAGACTCATTTATTCAATCATAAATTATTTCTCAAAAATATATAGAATAATATCTGAAAATTAGTCATAGGAATAACACTAACATATTGACTTATTTTCCAAAATAAATAAATAAATAAAAAGAAGCACCTGAAAGTATCATGGGTAAGACAGATCAATGATATCATATACTTTTTTTCATAATCTGGAAAATAATTTAAAAATTTAAATTATTGACAAAATGTAAATCCCTTGTTTGCATAAAAAGTTTAGGATTAAAATTACTGTTATTTCTTGTTGTTGTATGTCATTGAGTCAATTGCACCTCAGAGCAACTCAGTCAGAAAGACTAGAATTTACTCATAGTGTTTCTAAGGCTATAATTTTACAAATGCTGACTTCTACATCTTTCTCCCATGGAATAGCTGGTGGGTTCAAACCAAATTATTTGGTACATGGTATTATTAACTTAATGCCCTTTTGATAAAACAAAGGAATATTTTCTTTTTACATTACTACTCCTCGGAATGAAGGTTGGGCAATCTACTTCCATAGTGATACTGCCTCAAAAACCAAAGGAGGGGTTGCTATGAGTTGGGTCCAACTCCAAGGCACATAACAACAACAGCAACAACAACATTACTATTCTTCTGATCCATCCATTCTTTTTATTAGGAAGATAAAATGTATAATATACATATTAAAGAGCATCAATTCCTACTCATAGCAATCCCCACTGGGTTTTCAAGGCTGTAAATCTTTACAGAAGTATGTTTTCAATCTTCCTTCCGCAGAGCAGCCGGTAGGTTTGAACTGCTGACCTTTTAGCAGTCAGATGCTTTATCCACTATGCCACCAGAGCTCCTTAGCATTACATGTAGATTTTTATAAATATGAAGACTTATAATCCCTATAGTTTCCTTGAGGTGGGCACCATACTCTTCACTATGAAAACAAAAGCCATGGAGTCGGATCCAACTTATAGTGACCACTCCTTGGGTTTCCAAGGAGGTATCACTATGGAAGTAGTTTGTCCAACCTTCCTTCCAAGAAGTAGCTGATGGGATTGAATGACCAGCCTTCTGGTTAGCAGTCAAATGCCTTAGGCACTACGCCACCAGAGTTCCTTACTCTTCAGTAGAAGACAATATAGTTTGCCAAATTGGATACATATTTCCTAAAACATACTCACTATTGCAATTATAATTTTCAGTTTATTACTATATACTTGCAGGCTCAATTTTCTCCAGTTATAATCAGTACTGACACTTCTTTAACTCCTGAGATTATAATTATCATAACAATTTTACTGTAAAGCATTTCCAGGAAAATTATGCTGAGTGTAATGTTTAATTTTATGTGTCAACTTGGCTAAGACGTCGTGCCAAATGATTTGTTCAAACACTGATCTAGTCACCATTATGAAAGAATTCACGTTTCATTAACACTTAAATCAGGTGACCTAAATAAAACAAAATGTCTTTCATAAAGTAGAAGAGTCTCAACAATCACATTGAACATCTTAGGAACAAAGAAAGAAGTTTCCATAGGGAGAAAAATTCTGCCTCAAGACTGTAAATGGATATCTTACTGGTTTATCAAGTACAGGCACAAGATTGCTAAAGTTTCCATGCTGTAACTTGAGGTGCATATTTCGTACTTCCAGCCTCTGCTATGATGTAAGCCAATTATTTAAAATAAATCTATGTATTTTCTCTCTCTCTACATGTCCATGTATACATACATATAGATCTACATATAGATCTACATATAGATATAGATACACATATACATATATGTATATGTATATGTACGTGTACATATACATATACATACATGTTGTTGGGTGCTATTGAGTCGATTCTGACTCACAGCAACCCCATGTGGCAGAGTAGAATGGCCCCACAGTGTTTCTTATGGAAGCAGATTGCCTGGTGTTCTCCTATAGAGTTCCTAGATGGGATCAGATGTATATGTTTTGAGCAGCCAATCAGTTGAAAGGAAATTTTCCTAGGGGTGTGGCATGCTTCCAGTATATTTATGGACATCCTGGGAAAGAGAGCCTCTTCTGTGGATCGGGATTCTGTTGTGCTGCCTACAACTGTCCATGAGTGAACAATCCAACACTCGGCCTGGAGATCTTGGATTCGTCATTCATTGGAGTCAACAGCCAGTATACTACCTGCCAACCTTGAGTTCCTCAGCCCCTGCAGCTGCATGAGTTGGGAAAAGCCTCCAGTATGACATTTGATCCAAGAACTTTGGACTTGCCAGCTTCTATAAGTGTGTGAACCATTTTTCTAAGATAAATTTCTCTTTCTCTCTCTATATATAATCTTTACTGGTTTTGTTTCTCTACAGAGCCCAGTCTAACACAATATATTACATATATATGTATATATGTAATATAAATATAAAAAAAAAAAACCCTCACTGCCATCTAATCAATTTCGACACATAGCAACCTGTCCTTGGGTTTCTGACATGGTATTTCTGCAGAAGTATATTGCCCAGTCTTCCTTCTGAGGAGTGGTTAGTGGGTTAACACTGCCAGCCTTCTGATTAGCAGTCAAATGTCTTAGACACTATACCCCTGGAGCTCCATGTATATGACCATATATACATACTCAGATATTGGTGATGTTTTTCTGGAGATATTGGTGATGTTTTTCTAGAGAACCATGACTAAAATAGATTTTGGAACTAAGAATGATTCAATAATAACAGAATTTTAAAAATTAGTTTTCAGCCTTTTTTTCTAGGAATTAAGGAATTGATTTTCAGGTATGGTTACTTTTAAAAACACTGATGACTATTTTAAGTAGTGGTTAAAGAATTGGGCTGCTAACCAAAAGGTCAATGGTTCGAAGCCACCAGCCATTCTGTGGAGAAAGATGAGGCAGTCTGCTTCCTTAAAGATTTACAGTATTGGAAACCCGATGGCAGTTGCTATGAGTTAGAATTGACTCTGTAGCAGTGGCTTGGAATGACTCCTTTCAATAGTAAAGAAGGAACTGATAATGTGTGCCATGATGTAGCAATAGAGATAACCAAATTATCAAGACTGGATATTTCTAATCAAATACTTATAAAAGACAATGTTCTGAATGACAATATATTTGACACTTTAGAATATTTTTGTCCAAATGAAGTGTATACTTAGATTGGATGTTGTTGTTGTTTGATTCCTTTGAGTCATCTCCAACTCATAGCAACACTTTGCACAGTAGAATAAAGTACCACCTGGTCCCGTGCCAGCTATGTGATCCTTGCTATACTTGAACCCATTGCCACAGCCACTGTGTCAATCCGTCTCATTGAGCACCTTCCCCTCTTTTTCTGACCCTCCAGCTCTTGTAGCATAGTGCCTAAGGCACTTGACTGCTCACCAGAAGGCTGGCGGTTCAAACCCACCAGCCACTCCTCGGAAGGAAGGTTGGGCAATCCTACTTCCGTAGTGATACTGCCTCAGAAACCCAAGGAGGGGTCGCTATGAATCGGGGCCGACTCGACGGCAAACAACAACAACAACAACAACCTTACCAAGAATGACATCCTTTTCCAGGGAACGATCTCTTCTAATAACATGACCAAAGTAGGTGGGATGAAGTCTGACCATTCTCACTTCCAAGACACATTCCAGCTTCATTTCCTTCAGGACAGATATGTTAGTTCTTTTAGCAGTGCATGGGACTTTCAGAATTCTTCACCAACACCACAACTCAAAAGTCTCAATTTTTCTTCGGGCTTCCTTATTCATTGTCCAGCTCTCACATGAATATGAGGCAATTGAAAATATCATGGGTTGTGTCAGGTACACCTTAGTCCTCAAGATGACCTCTTTGCTCCTCAACACCTGAAAGAGGTCCTTTGCAGAGAACTTGCCCGATCAGACATTGTCTGATGTCCTGATTGCTCCTTCCATTGGTGTCGATTGTAGAACCAAGCAATGTGAAGTCCTTGACAACTTCAACCTTTTCTCCATTCATCATGATGCTGTTCATAGGTCTAGTTGTGAGGATTTTTGTTTTCTTTATACTGAGATGTAATCCATATTGCAGATTGTATTCTTCAATCTTCATCAGTAAGTGCTTCAAGTCATCCCATTTTCAGCAAGCAAAGTTGTGTCATCAGCATATCACAGGTTATTAATCATTCTTCCTCCAATCTTGATGCCACATTCTTCATCATATAGTCTAGTTTCTCAGATTATTTGCTCAACATATAGATTGAATAAGTATGCTGAAAGGATACAACCCTGACACACTCCATTCTTGATTTTAAACCATGAAGTGTCCTCTTGTTTTGTTCAAACAACAGCCTCTTAGTCCATTACAGGTTCTTCATGAATACAATTAAGTGTTCTGGAATTCCCATTCTTCTCAATGTTATCCCCAATTTGTTATGATCCACAGAATCAAATGTTTTTGCATAGTCAATAAAACACAAGTAAACATCTTTCTGGTATTCTTTGCTTTGAGCCAAGATCCATCTGATATCAACAATGATAGCCCTTGCCCCATGTCTTCTTCTGAATGCAGCTTGCACTTCTGGAAGTTCTCTGTCAATATATTGCTGCAACCATTTTTGAATTATCTTCAGCAAGATTTTACTTGTGTGGGATATTAATGATATTGTTTGATAATTTCCACATTCTGTGGGGTCAACTTTCATTGGAATGGGAAAAAAATATGAATCTCTTCCAATCAGTTGGCTAGGTA